GGAAACATGTGTAGGTTTTTACTGCATTTTTGTGGGGGTTTTTTTCAGCTTGAGATTAAAATCCCAGTCTCCTGAACCATGAGGAGAGGTTGGGTGTGTCTTATTGGCGCTGTGACCATGTGGCACCAGCACAAGGACACAGCACTTTATCTGCAGCTGTGGTGAGTGGGATCAGATTTACATGTGACCTCCAGAGCGGGACAGTCTGGATCTGTGCTAAGCTCCCGTAGTTCAACATGCAAAACTTTTCATTTCAATCGGCTTAAACATATGTGTAGGAGACGCTGGAGGTGGATCTGAGGATCTGAGGGGGAGAAACGACTGGGCTGTGGAGAAGGGGCCGGCGTTTAGGGCAGAGGCGTTTAGGGCAGAGGCGTTTACGGCAGAGGCGTTTAGGTCAGAGGCGTTTAGGGCAGAGGCGTTTACGGCAGAGGCGTTTAGGTCAGAGGCGTTTAGGGCAGAGGCGTTTAGGTCAGAGGCGTTTAGGGCAGAGGCGTTTAGGGCAGAGGCGTTTAGGTCAGAGGCGTTTAGGGCAGAGGCGTTTAGGGCAGAGGCGTTTAGGGCAGAGGCGTTTAGGGCAGAGGCGTTTAGGTCAGAGGCGTTTAGGGCAGAGGCGTTTAGGGCAGAGGCGTTTAGGTCAGAGGCGTTTAGGGCAGAGGCGTTTAGGGCAGAGGCGTTTAGGGCAGAGGCGTTTAGGGCAGAGGCGTTTAGGTCAGAGGCGTTTAGGGCAGAGGCGTTTAGGGCAGAGGCGTTTAGGGCAGAGGCGTTTAGGGCAGAGGCGTTTAGGTCAGAGGCGTTTAGGTCAGAGGCGTTTAGGGCAGAGGCGTTTAGGTCAGAGGCGTTTAGGTCAGAGGCGTTTAGGGCAGAGGCGTTTAGGTCAGAGGCGTTTAGGGCAGAGGCGTTTAGGCAGAGGCGTTTAGGGCAGAGGCGTTTAGGGCAGAGGCGTTTAGGTCAGAGGCGTTTAGGCAGAGGCGTTTAGGTCAGAGGCGTTTAGGTCAGAGGCGTTTAGGGCAGAGGCGTTTAGGTCAGAGGCGTTTAGGGCAGAGGCGTTTAGGGCAGAGGCGTTTAGGGCAGAGGCGTTTAGGTCAGAGGCGTTTAGGGCAGAGGCGTTTAGGGCAGAGGCGTTTAGGGCAGAGGCGTTTAGGGCAGAGGCGTTTAGGTCAGAGGCGTTTAGGTCAGAGGCGTTTAGGGCAGAGGCGTTTAGGGCAGAGGCGTTTAGGTCAGAGGCGTTTAGGGCAGAGGCGTTTAGGTCAGAGGCGTTTAGGCAGAGGCGTTTAGGCAGAGGCGTTTAGGTCAGAGGCGTTTAGGTCAGAGGCGTTTAGGTCAGAGGCGTTTAGGGCAGAGGCGTTTAGGGCAGAGGCGTTTAGGGCAGAGGCGTTTAGGGCAGAGGCGTTTAGGGCAGAGGCGTTTAGGGCAGAGGCGTTTAGGCAGAGGCGTTTAGGTCAGAGGCGTTTAGGTCAGAGGCGTTTAGGGCAGAGGCGTTTAGGGCAGAGGCGTTTAGGGCAGAGGCGTTTAGGGCAGAGGCGTTTTAGGCAGAGGCGTTTAGGTCAGAGGCGTTTAGGTCAGAGGCGTTTAGGGCAGAGGCGTTTAGGGCAGAGGCGTTTAGGGCAGAGGCGTTTAGGGCAGAGGCGTTTAGGGCAGAGGCGTTTAGGCAGAGGCGTTTAGGTCAGAGGCGTTTAGGGCAGAGGCGTTTAGGCAGAGGCGTTTAGGTCAGAGGCGTTTAGGGCAGAGGCGTTTAGGGCAGAGGCGTTTAGGCAGAGGCGTTTAGGGCAGAGGCGTTTAGGTCAGAGGCGTTTAGGGCAGAGGCGTTTAGGGCAGAGGCGTTTAGGGCAGAGGCGTTTAGGTCAGAGGCGTTTAGGTCAGAGGCGTTTAGGGCAGAGGCGTTTAGGTCAGAGGCGTTTAGGGCAGAGGCGTTTAGGGCAGAGGCGTTTAGGGCAGAGGCGTTTAGGCAGAGGCGTTTAGGTCAGAGGCGTTTAGGGCAGAGGCGTTTAGGGCAGAGGCGTTTAGGGCAGAGGCGTTTAGGGCAGAGGCGTTTAGGGCAGAGGCGTTTAGGCAGAGGCGTTTAGGCAGAGGCGTTTAGGGCAGAGGCGTTTAGGGCAGAGGCGTTTAGGTCAGAGGCGTTTAGGTCAGAGGCGTTTAGGTCAGAGGCGTTTAGGGCAGAGGCGTTTAGGCAGAGGCGTTTAGGGCAGAGGCGTTTAGGGCAGAGGCGTTTAGGGCAGAGGCGTTTAGGTCAGAGGCGTTTAGGGCAGAGGCGTTTAGGGCAGAGGCGTTTAGGTCAGAGGCGTTTAGGGCAGAGGCGTTTAGGGCAGAGGCGTTTAGGGCAGAGGCGTTTAGGTCAGAGGCGTTTAGGGCAGAGGCGTTTAGGGCAGAGGCGTTTAGGGCAGAGGCGTTTAGGGCAGAGGCGTTTAGGTCAGAGGCGTTTAGGGCAGAGGCGTTTAGGGCAGAGGCGTTTAGGGCAGAGGCGTTTAGGGCAGAGGCGTTTAGGTCAGAGGCCTAGATCCAGGAAGTATCATTACATTAGTCCTGGTCTCAGGTCTCTGTAGCTCAGAGACTTTAAAACAGTTCTGTTTGTTACAAGTCTCTCCACGACCTCAAAGACATCTGAGACATGTTAGAGCCATATGAACAAACTCTGAGGAGCACAGGGACTGGCCTCCTGCTGGGACTCTGAGGAGCACAGGGACTGGACTCCTGCTGGGACTCTGAGGAGCACAGGGACTGGCCTCCTGCTGGGACTCTGAGCAGCACAGGGACTGGACTCCTGCTGGGACTCTGAGGAGCACAGGGACTGGCCTCCTGCTGGGACTCTGAGGAGCACAGGGACTGGCCTCCTGCTGGGACTCTGAGCAGCACAGGGACTGGACTCCTGCTGGGACTCTGAGGAGCACAGGGACTGGCCTCCTGCTGGGACTCTGAGGAGCACAGGGACTGGCCTCCTGCTGGGACTCTGAGCAGCACAGGGACTGGACTCCTGCTGGGACTCTGAGGAGCACAGGGACTGGCCTCCTGCTGGGACTCTGAGGAGCACAGGGACTGGACTCCTGCTGGGACTCTGAGGAGCACAGGGACTGGACTCCTGCTGGGACTCTGAGGAGCACAGGGACTGGACTCCTGCTGGGACTCTGAGGAGCACAGGGACTGGACTCCTGCTGGTGCCCAGATTTATGCAGCTAAAATCTGGAGCGGTCTTCCTGAATATGCGAGACAGACTTCTTCTCTGATGTTCAATAAACAGCTCTGTTCATCTTTTCTCTGTTTAACGCCCTGTGATTATTGCGTGACTGTTTCGTGTGCAGCACTTTGAGTTGCTTTGTGTATGAACTGTGCTCTACAAATAAACTTGCCTTGATTGTCTAACTATAGTGAATGCACATGGCTTCATAAAGGTCTGACATGAGCCAGAGGAAATCCTCCAGGTGCCCTGACCCCCCGGGCTGCAGCAGTGACAGATGACCATGAATCTACTATAATAACGCAGATGACAGAGTGTGGAACATCACGTGATCATAATAACGTTAATGAAATGGAGCCTGCGTGAATGTGACGATCTGTGACTGAAGCTCACCGCACACCGAAACGCAGCGCCTCGCGGCGCGTCATTTGACGCGCGTTCATGACATGTGTCAAATTACACCGGAACGCCTTGGCTAGCGTCCTTTTCCAGCTGATCGCAGATGAAATGGGTGAGTGACGTTTGGAAGTTTCTACTAATATTTTGGGGGAGGAAACAAAGTATTTACGTGAAATTATGCTGGCAAATATTACAAGAAAAGACTATTTGGACCCATTTTTTAAACAGGCTAATAACTAGCTCTGGGTAACGCTGTACTTGGGTTATCAAGCTTTCCTCGTCCATTGTGACCGGTTTACTTGAGCAATAGCGCCGACAAGTGTGTAAATTTGAGACCGCGCTCACAGCTACGTGATAAGAAGCGCAGAAGAAGAAAACTACGGGTGCTTGGAGGGACAGTTTCAGCCGCGGCGCCGCGTCTGGATTCAACAAAACTGAATCGTGGCGCCCGGTCCAGCGTCGCCGCGCGTCACTGCAACCTTGGTGTGCGTTCTCTCATAGAAAATAAAGGAGGCGGCTCTTTTGCCGCGCGTCAAGGCGTTTCGGTGTGCGTTGGGCTTTAGGCTTCGTAGAAAACGCCTCTTCAGTGCGCGCTGCAGGCAGAGCATTGGGCAGATCTCTGGTGTCACATGTCCATTCAGCCCATCTGCTGTGCGCGTGCGTGAGACTAGTCTGATCCGAGCGCGCACGGAGCGGGAGGCTGTGAGCAGGTGCTTCAGCTGCTGACGCGGGTCTCTGTGGGTCTCTGTGGATCTCTGTGGTTCTCTGTGTTTCTCTGTGGGTCTCTTTGGGTCTCTGTGGAGTACCCCCGCTGAGGATAACGCATAACTTTTCTCCCGTGGATCTGACTCTGGACCAGTGCGTTTGGGGATCGGAGGCTCCTCTGCGCACTGCCGCAAAGAGCGAAAACTAAAGATGGGAATTACAGAAACCAGGGCGGATGTGCAGCTCCTGCGGCCGGTATCATGATGTGATTGTCGGCCTCATCTGCAGGACCGTCGGCTCTGCTCTGAGGTAAGGCTCCGTGGGGATCGTGGTGTTTGTGTCGGGAGCTGGTGCGTCAAAGCCCGGGGTAGATCCTGTCTCCTGCGCCGTCAGTGCGTCCTAACCGCGGGTGTAACTGAGAGCCGCCTGCACAGATGCACACTCTGCAAGACAACTGGCTTTAATGATTATGTTCTCTATACAATCTAAGAATAGCCTAATTCCAGCTCCTCCACCCCGTTTATCAATCATGTAATTCCACATCTGACCACTAGGTGACAGATGATAGTGCTGCTCTCTGCTGCAGGTTATTTCTGGATGCACGTTTCCAGGTCATGTATGATTTAAGAATGTATTGTTTAATGCAAATGAAGCAGATCCATCACCTTTAGGCCTCCGCTCTGCTGTCGGCTTACTGTACACAGTGACTAATCTGCTGGAAGTGTGATTACTAAAGGCAGCGTGGCCGGAGGGAATCCTGCTGAAGTTGATGATTTGAATAATAGATTTTCTCAAAGACAGAAAACATTCTCTTTCAGGGAAATACATGTTTCTTCTTTTCACGGTGTGGAGGCCTCTAAGGACTCCCAATTAGAACCTCCTACATTGTGTTTTGCAATAATAATTATGGTCTTTGACCATTCAAGTCAATGAAGTCATGAATGTATCTTTCTGCAGTTAATGATCTACTTTTTAGAATGTGCTGGAAATCAGACCCTCATGAAGTATGAGGATCCCTGACCCAGTTATTTACACTATAGAATACAATATCTACACTTTAGAGTTAGACTTAGAGTTTTGTGTCAGAATAATATCTTTATTTAAACATGTCACTGAAACACAGTCTACAGAAATGTGACACACAACTGCTTCTAAGTCCCGCCCACCTGGCAACCATAGACTGTATCTGGCAACCCACTCTGGTTCTGGAATTATAATTTACATACAAAATCTCCTTAGGATTTTGAAGTCACGAAGCACACAGATGTTTTCAGCCCAAAAAGCACAAACAAAAATGTAAAATTCTGCCAAATGTGTTTATTTGTTTTTAAGTTTCAGAAACTGCAGGTCTCAGGTCCTCATTCACAGACGCTCATTAGCAGCTTTTGTAAAGTAAAGATTATTCTTAAAAAATTATTCGTTTTTTAGATTCTGAAACCTCAGTGCAAATGTTTCTTTGTGGTTTTACTTCCTGTCTTGCTCCCATTGAGCTGCACCTGTCTGTGTCTCTGTCTCTGTGTCTCTGTCTCTGTCTCTGTGTCTCTGTCTCTGTGTCTCTGTCTCTGTCTCTGTGTCTCTGTCTCTGTGTCTCTGTCTCTGTGTCTCTGTCTCTGTCTCTGTGTCTCTGTCTCTGTGTCTCTGTGTCTCTGTCTCTGTCTCTGTCTCTGTGTCTCTGTGTCTCTGTCTCTGTGTCTCTGTCTCTGTGTCTCTGTCTCTGTGTCTCTGTGTCTCTGTCTCTGTGTCTCTGTCTCTGTGTCTCTGTGTCTCTGTCTCTGTGTCTCTGTCTCTGTGTCTCTGTGTCTCTGTGTCTCTGTCTCTGTGTCTGTGTCTCTGTCTCTGTGTCTCTGTGTCTCTGTCTCTGTGTCTCTGTGTCTCTGTCTCTGTGTCTCTGTGTCTGTGTCTCTGTCTCTGTGTCTGTGTCTCTGTGTCTGTGTCTCTGTGTCTCTGTCTCTGTGTCTCTGCCTCTGTCTCTGTGTCTGTGTCTCTGTCTCTGTGTCTCTGTGTCTCTGTCTCTGTGTCTCTGTCTCTGTGTCTCTGTCTCTGTGTCTCTGTGTCTCTGTGTCTCTGTGTCTCTGTCTCTGTGTCTCTGTGTCTCTGTCTCTGTGTCTCTGTGTCTGTGTCTCTGTGTCTGTGTCTCTGTCTCTGTGTCTCTGTCTCTGTGTCTCTGTGTCTCTGTCTCTGTGTCTCTGTCTCTGTGTCTCTGTCTCTGTGTCTGTCTCTGTGTCTCTGTGTCTGTGTCTCTGTCTCTGTGTCTCTGTCTCTGTGTCTCTGTCTCTGTGTCTCTGTCTCTGTGTCTCTGTGTCTCTGTGTCTCTGTCTCTGTGTCTCTGTGTCTCTGTGTCTCTGTCTCTGTGTCTCTGTGTCTGTGTCTCTGTCTCTGTGTCTCTGTGTCTGTGTCTCTGTCTCTGTGTCTCTGTGTCTCTGTGTCTCTGTGTCTCTGTCTCTGTGTCTCTGTGTCTCTGTCTCTGTGTCTCTGTGTCTGTGTCTCTGTCTCTGTGTCTCTGTCTCTGTGTCTCTGTGTCTCTGTGTCTGTGTCTCTGTCTCTGTGTCTCTGTGTCTCTGTCTCTGTGTCTCTGTCTCTGTGTCTCTGTCTCTGTGTCTGTCTCTGTGTCTCTGTGTCTGTGTCTCTGTCTCTGTGTCTCTGTGTCTCTGTCTCTGTGTCTCTGTCTCTGTGTCTCTGTGTCTCTGTGTCTCTGTCTCTGTGTCTCTGTGTCTGTGTCTCTGTCTCTGTGTCTCTGTGTCTGTGTCTCTGTCTCTGTGTCTCTGTGTCTCTGTCTCTGTGTCTCTGTCTCTGTGTCTCTGTGTTTGTGTCTCTGTCTCTGTGTCTCTGTCTCTGTGTCTCTGTCTCTGTGTCTCTGTGTCTGTGTCTCTGTCTCTGTGTCTCTGTGTCTCTGTCTCTGTGTCTCTGTCTCTGTGTCTCTGTCTCTGTGTGTCTCTGTCTCTGTGTCTCTGTGTCTCTGTCTCTGTGTCTCTGTGTCTCTGTCCCTGTCTCTGTCTCTCTGTCTCTGTGTCTGTGTCTCTGTCTGTTTTCCTGGTTCTCGTTGATCATTGCATGTGCCTGTATGTGTGTATCTGTATGTATGTGTGTATCTGTCTGTATGTGTGTATCTGTATGTATGTGTGTATCTGTATGTATTTGTGTATCTGTCTGTATGTGTGTATCTGTATGTATTTGTGTATCTGTATGTATTTGTGTATCTGTCTGTATGTGTGTATCTGTCTGTATGTGTGTGTGTATGGGTTTGTGTGTATCTGTCTGTATGTGTGTGTGTGTCTGTGTGTGTGAGTGTGTTAAACGGGGCTGGGTAGTTTTATTATACTTAGTTTTTTCTGTCTGACAGTGTGTTGTAGTGTGACATCACAAGGACCACTGTGTCTGGGTTCAATCTCTCCTTTGGATCATGTTTAAGGTTCACTGTCTCTGCACAAGTAAAAACTCTACCAACCTCACCCCTCACACGCCTCACCCCTCACATGCCTCACCCCTCACGCCTCACCCCTCATGCCTCACCCCTCATGCCTCACCCATCACGCATCAGACGCCTCACCCCTCCACACGCCTCACCCCTTACACGCCTCACCAATCACATGCCTCACCCATCACACACCTCACCCCTTACACGCCTCACCCCTCACACGCCTCACCCCTTACACGCCTCACCCCTCACAAACCTCACCTCTCACACCCCTCACCCCTCACACACCTCACCCCTTACACGCCTCACCCCTCACAAACCTCACCTCTCACACCCCTCACCCCTCACACACCTCACCCCTTACACGCCTCACCCCTCACACGCCTCACTCCTCACACCTCACCCCTCACATGCCTCACCCCTCACACGCCTTGCACCACACCCCTCACACACCTCACACGCCTCACCCCTCACACGCCTCACCCCTCACATACCTCACCCCTTATGTTCCATAAGTTCATTATGGAACATGGAGTACGAGGGGTGAGTCGTATGAAGGGTGAGGCGTATGAAGGGTGAGGCGTATGACGGGTGAGGCGTATGACGTATGAGGGGTGAGGCGTATGAGGGTTGAGGCATATGAGGGGTGACACTTATGATGAGGCGTATGAGGGGTGAGGTGTGTGAGGGGTGAGGTGTGAGGGGTGAGGTGTGAGGCGTATGAGGGGTGAGGCGTGTGAGGCGTATGAGGGGTGAGGTGTGTGAGGGATGAGGTGTGAGGCGTATGAGGGGTGAGGTGTGAGGCGTATGAGGGGTGAGGTGTGTGAGGGGTGAGACGTGTGAGGGGTAAGGCGTGTGAGGGGTGAGGCGTGTGAGGGGTGAGGGCGTGTGAGGGGTGAGGCGTGTGAGGGGTGAGGGGTGAGGCGTGTGAGGGGTGAGACGTGTGAGGGGTAAGGCGTGTGAGGGGTGAGGTGTGAGGCGTATGAGGGGTGAGGTGTGTGAGGGGTGAGACGTGTGAGGGGTAAGGCGTGTGAGGGGTGAGGCGTGTGAGGGGTGAGGCGTGTGAGGGGTGAGGCGTGTGAGGCGTGTGAGGGGTGAGGCGTGTGAGGCGTATGAGGGGTGAGGTGTGTGAGGGATGAGGTGTGAGGCGTATGAGGGGTGAGGTGTGAGGCGTATGAGGGGTGAGGTGTGTGAGGGGTGAGACGTGTGAGGGGTAAGGCGTGTGAGGGGTGAGGCGTGTGAGGGGTGAGGCGTGTGAGGGGTGAGGCGTGTGAGGGGTGAGGCGTGTGAGGGGTGAGGCGTGTGAGGGGTGAGACGTGTGAGGGGTAAGGCGTGTGAGGGGTGAGGCGTGTGAGGGGTGAGGCGTGTGAGGGGTGAGGCGTGTGAGGGGTGAGACGTGTGAGGGGTAAGGCGTGTGAGGGGTGAGGCGTGTGAGGGGTAAGGCGTGTGAGGCGTGTGAGGGGTGAGGCGTGTGAGGGGTGAGGCGTGTGAGGGGTGAGGCGGGTGAGGCGTGTGAGGGGTGAGGCGTGTGAGGGGTGAGGCGTGTGAGGGGTGAGACGTGTGAGGGGTGAGGCGTGTGAGGGGTGAGGCGTGTGAGGGGTAAGGCGTGTGAGGCGTGTGAGGGGTGAGGCGTGTGAGGGGTGAGGCGTGTGAGGGGTGAGGCGTGTGAGGGGTGAGGCGTGTGAGGGGTGAGGTGTGTGAGGGGTGAGGTGTGTGAGGGGTGAGGCGTGTGAGGGGTGAGGCGTGTGAGGGGTGAGGCGTTGTGAGGGGTGAGGGTGTGTGAGGGGTGAGGTGTGTGAGGGGTGAGGCGTGTGAGGGGTGAGGCGTATGAGGGGTGAGGTGTGTGAGGGGTGAGACGTGTGAGGGGTGAGGCGTGTGAGGGGTGAGGCGTGTGAGGGGTGAGGCGTGTGAGGGGTGAGGCGTGTGAGGGGTGAGGCGTGTGAGGGGTGAGGCGTGTGAGGGGTAAGGCGTGTGAGGCGTGTGAGGGGTGAGGCGTGTGAGGGGTGAGGCGTGTGAGGGGTGAGGCGTGTGAGGGGTGAGGCGTGTGAGGGGTGAGGCGTGTGAGGGGTGAGGGCGTGTGAGGGGTGAGGCGTGTGAGGGGTGAGGCGTGTGAGGGGTGAGGTGTGTGAGGGGTGAGGCGTGTGAGGGGTGAGGCGTGTGAGGGGTGAGGTGTGTGAGGGGTGAGGCGTGTGAGGGGTGAGGTGTGTGAGGGGTGAGGTGTGTGAGGGGTGAGGCGTGTGAGGGGTGAGGCGTATGAGGGGTGAGGTGTGTGAGGGATGAGGGGTGTGAGGGGTGAGGCGTGTGAGGGGTGAGGCGTGTGAGGGGTGAGGCGTGTGAGGGGTGAGGCGTGTGAGGGGTGAGGCGTGTGAGGGGTGAGGCGTGTGAGGGGTGAGGCGTGTGAGGGGTGAGGCGTGTGAGGGGTGAGGCGTATGAGGGGTGAGGTGTGTGAGGGATGAGGGGTGAGGCGTATGAGGGGTGAACCAAAACTGTATTATTGCACTAATGGGTCATGTATGTATCTTTTCATTAGGCCAGGCAAGTTTAATTGTCTAGCACAGTTCATACAGAAGGCAAAGAGATAATCACAGTTCATTAAACAAAGTGAAGATAAAATCTGTTTTGAGCAGGATTGAAACAGTGTCAGAGAATAGGCTCAGTGTAAAACAGACTCTGATTATCCGCGTTCTATCCATTTTCTTCCCTTTAATCCATTTCTGGGTCAGGGGGGTGGCAGTCAGAGATGCCACCCAAGTCTCATAGCACCAGCCCCTCACTGACCCTCTGCAGGTGGTGAGTCCACAGGAGGACGGCTGCTCTCTGACTGTGAGCATAGCCTTGATCTTTCAGTGGGGGCTTTGGGCAAAGTGGGGTTAAGTGTCTTGCCCAAGGACACAACGACAGCAGTCATCAGTGGGAGTCGGTGGAGAAGGTGTAGAGGTGGGAATTGAACCCACGACCTTCTGGCCTTAAGGCCAATGCTCTACCAACTGAGCTACTGTCGCCCCTGTCCGCGTTCTGATGAGGAGAAAACAAAAGAAGCAAAGGACGCCAAAGACATTCATGATTTAGTAAAAGGAAACCAATAACGGGCTAAAAATAGACAACGGAGAGCTAAGAATAGACCGAGAACCAACTGGGACTGACAAAAGACGACAAGTGGAACCAATACACACAGGGAAACACAGGGGAATTATGTTAGTGCGACACCATCACTCAACGGGACAGGAAGTAACACAGATAATTCTGTGTGGATCTCTCTCTCTGTGGATCTCTCTCTCTCTGTGGAACTTTCTCTGTGGAACTCTCTTTCTCTGTGGATCTCTCTCTCTGTGGTCCTCTCTCTGGGGATCTCGATCTCTCTGTGGATCTCTCTCTCTCTGTGGATCTCTCTCTCTGTGGTCCTCTCTCTTTGGAACTCTCTCTCTCTGTGGATCTCTCTCTCTGTGGTCCTCTCTCTGTGGATCTCTCTCTCTTTGGATCTCTCTCTCTCTGTGGATCTCTCTCTCTTTGGATCTCTCTCTCTCTCTCTGTGGATCTCTCTCTCTTTGGATCTCTCTCTCTCTCTCTGTGGATCTCTCTCTCTCTGTGAATCTCTCTCTCTTTGTGGATCTGAGGTTTCTCACTTTTCCCCAACTGGGTTTTAGAGTGTTTCCTCTGATGCTGGAGTCTGTTACAGTCAGAGTTAGAAGGACACTCTACATTTTATACATTTATTATTGACATTGGTCTATCCCTATGGTCCAATACCATGTGTTCTCTCCCTATGGTCCAATACCATGTGTTCTCTCCCTATGGTCCAATACCATGTGGTCTCTCCCTATGGTCCGATTCCATGTGTTCTCTCTCTATGGTCCAATACCATGTGGTCTCTCCCTATGGACCAATACCATGTGTTCTCTCCCTATGGTCCAATACCATGTGGTCTCTCCCTATGGACCAATACCATGTGGTCTCTCTCTATGGACCAATACCATGTGGTCTCTCTCTATGGACCAATACTATGTGGTCTCTCCCTATGGACCAATACCATGTGGTCTCTCCCTATGGACCAATACCATGTGGTCTCTCCCTATGTACCAATACCATGTGGTCTCTCCCTATGGACCAATACCATGTGGTCTCTCCCTATGTACCAATACCATGTGGTCTCTCCCTATGGTCCAATACCATGTGGTCTCTCCCTATGTACCAATACCATGTGGTCTCTCCCTATGGACCAATACCATGTGGTCTCTCCCTATGGACCAATACCATGTGGTCTCTCCCTATGGTCCAATACCATGGTCCAATACCATGTGGTCTCTCCCTATGGTCCAATACCATGGTCCAATACCATGTGGTCTCTCCCTATGGACCAATACCATGTGGTCTCTCCCTATGGTCCAATACCATGGTCCAATACCATGTGGTCTCTCCCTATGGTCCAATACCATGTGGTCTCTCCCTATGGACCAATACCATGTGGTCTCTCCCTATGGACCAATAACCATGTGGCCTCTCCCTATGGACCAATACCATGTGGTCTCTCCCTATGGTCCAATACCATGTGGTCTCTCCCTATGGTCCAATACCATGTGGTCTCTCCCTATGGTCCAATACCATGTGGTCTCTCCCTATGGACCAATACCATGTGGTCTCTCCCTATGGTCCAATACCATGGTCCAATACCATGTGGTCTCTCCCTATGGACCAATACCATGTGGTCTCTCCCTATGGTCCAATACCATGGTCCAATACCATGTGGTCTCTCCCTATGGTCCAATACCATGTGGCCTCTCCCTATGGACAAATACCATGTGGTCTCTCCCTATGGTCCAATACCATGGTCCAATACCATGTGGTCTCTCCCTATGGTCCAATACCATGTGGTCTCTCCCTATGGACCAATACCATGTGGTCTCTCCCTATGGACCAATACCATGTGGTCTCTCCCTATGGACAAATACCATGTGGTCTCTCCCTATGGTCCAATACCATGGTCCAATACCATGTGGTCTCTCCCTATGGTCCAATACCATGTGGTCTCTCCCTATGGACCAATACCATGTGGTCTCTCCCTATGGACCAATACCATGTGGTCTCTCCCTATGGTCCAATACCATGGTCCAATACCATGTGGTCTCTCCCTATGGTCCAATACCATGTGGTCTCTCCCTATGGTCCAATACTATGGTCCAATACCATGTGGTCTCTCCCTATGGAACAATACCATGTGGTCTCTCCCTATGGTCCAATACCATGGTCCAATACCATGTGGTCTCTCCCTATGGTCCAATACCATGGTCCAATACCATGTGGTCTCTCGCTATGGTCCAATACCATGTGGTCTCTCCCTATGGACCAATACCATGTGGTCTCTCCCTATGGACCAATACCATGTGGTCTCTCCCTATGGACCAATACCATGTGGTCTCTCCCTATGGACCAATACCATGTGGTCTCTCCCTATGTACCAATACCATGTGGTCTCTCCCTATGGACCAATACCATGTGGTCTCTCCGTATGGACCAATACCATGTGGTCTCTCCCTATGGTCCAATACCATGGTCCAATACCATGTGGTCTCTCCCTATGGTCCAATACCATGTGGTCTCTCCCTATGGACCAATACCATGTGGTCTCTCCCTATGGACCAATACCATGTGGCCTCTCCCTATGGACCGATACCATGTGGCCTCTCCCTATGGTCCAATACCATGTGGCCTCTCCCTATGGACCGATACCATGTGGTCTCTCCCTATGGTCCAATACCATGTGGTTTCTCCCTATGGTCCAATACCATGTGGTCTCTCCCTATGGACCAATACCATGTGGTCTCTCCCTATGGTCCAATACCATGGTCCAATACCATGTGGTCTCTCCCTATGGACCAATACCATGTGGTCTCTCCCTATGGTCCAATACCATGTGGTCTCTCCCTATGGCCCAATACCATGTGGTCTCTCCCTATGGTCCAATACCATGGTCCAATACCATGTGGTCTCTCCCTATGGACCAATACCATGTGGTCTCTCCCTATGGACAAATACCATGTGGTCTCTCCCTATGGTCCAATACCATGGTCCAATACCATGTGGTCTCTCCCTATGGTCCAATACCATGTGGTCTCTCCCTATGGACCAATACCATGTGGTCTCTCCCTATGGACCAATACCATGTGGTCTCTCCCTATGGTCCAATACCATGGTCCAATACCATGTGGTCTCTCCCTATGGACCAATATCATGTGGTCTCTCCCTATGGTCCAATACCATGTGGTCTCTCCCTATGGTCCAATACCATGGTCCAATACCATGTGGTCTCTCCCTATGGACCAATACCATGTGGTCTCTCCCTATGGTCCAATACCATGGTCCAATACCATGTGGTCTCTCCCTATGGTCCAATACCATGTGGTCTCTCCCTATGGTCCAATACCATGGTCCAATACCATGTGGTCTCTCCCTATGGTCCAATACCATGTGGTCTCTCCCTATGGTCCAATACCATGTGGTCTCTCCCTATGGTCCAATACCATGTGGTCTCTCCCTATGGTCCAATACCATGTGGTCTAATCTGTTGTTGGTGATTTCAATGATGCTGTAAAGTCTCTGAGAAAGTACTGTTGTGATTTAGGACGATGTGTGTGTGTGTTCGTGTGTGTGTGTGTAGTCAGTGTGTGTGTGTGTGTCTGTAGTCAGTGTGTGTGTGTGTGTGTGTGTGTGGCTGCGTGTGTGTGTGTGTGTGTGTGTCTGTAGCCAGTGTGTGTGTGTGTGTGTAGTCAGTGTGTGTGTGTGTGTGTGTGTGTGGCTGTGTGTGTGTTCGTGTGTGTGTGTCTCTGTAGTCAGTGTGTGTGTGTGTGTGTGTGTGTGTGGCTGTGTGTGTGTGTGTGTGAGTGTGGCTGTGTGTGTGTTTGTGTGTGTGTGTGTCTCTGTAGTCAGTGTGTGTGTGTAGCTGTGTGTGTGTGTCTCTGTAGTCAGTGTGTGTGTGTAGCTGTGTGTGTGTGTGTCTCTTTAGTCAGTGTTTGTGTGTAGCTGTGTGTGTGTGTGTGTCTCTGTAGTCAGTGTGTGTGTGTAGCTGTGTGAGTGTGTGTCTCTGTAGTCAGTGTTTGTGTGTAGCTGTGTGTGTGTGTGTCTCTGTAGTCAGTGTGTGTGTCCTACATTGGTGGTGGAATGTCTCAATGTTAATCCACTGTAAGTAAGTAAGTAAGTAAGTTATTATTTATATACCGCCTTTTCACTGCAGATCTGAGTCTCAAAGCGGTTTACAATTGTTAATTTTTTGGGCATTTGTCTCTCACTCCACACAGAGATGGGAGCGCGGCCAGTACAGGAGGCACATGCCAGAACTATTGGACATATTTTTAGTGGTAGGGGAAACCGGAGTACCCGGAGGAAACCTACGCAGACACGGGGAGAACATGCAAACTCCACTCAGAAAGGCCCTGGTCCGGCCGGGATTCGAACCCAGGACCTTCTTGCTGAGAGGCGAGAGTGCTATCCACTCAGCCACCGTGCCGCCTGTAAATAATTATGTAAGTGTTGCACTGTAGAGAAAAACTCACAGGGACAGGAGCTCACAGGGACAGGAGCTCACAGGGACAGGGGCTCACAGGGACAGGAGCTCACAGGGACAGGAGCTCACAGGGACAGGAGCTCACAGGGACAGGGGCTCACAGGGACAGGAGCTCACAGGGACAGGAGCTCACAGGGACAGGAGCTCACAGGGACAGGAGCTCACAGGGACAGGAGCTCACAGGGACAGGAGCTCACAGGGACAGGAGCTCACAGGGACAGGAGCTCACAGGGACAGGGGCTCACAGGGACAGGAGCTCACAGGGACAGGAGCTCACAGGGACAGGAGCTCACAGGGACAGGAGCTCACAGGGATAGGAGATCACAGGGACAGGAGCTAAAAGGGACAGAAGCTTACAGGGACAGGAGCTCACAGGGACAGGGGCTCACAGGGGCTCACAGGGACAGGGGCTCACAGGGACAGGAGCTCACAGGGACAGGGGCTCACAGGGACAGGAGCTCACAGGGACAGGAGCTCACAGGGACAGGGGCTCACAGGGACAGGGGCTCACAGGGACAGGAGCTCACAGGGACAGGGGCTCACAGGGACAGGAGCTCACAGGGACAGGAGCTCACAGGGACAGGGGCTCACAGGGACAGGGGCTCACAGGGACAGGAGCTCACAGGGACAGGAGCTCACAGGGACAGGAGCTCACAGGGACAGGAGCTCACAGGGACAGGAGCTCACAGGGACAGGAGCTCACAGGGACAGGAGCTCACAGGGACAGGGGCTCACAGGGACAGGAGCTCACAGGGACAGGAGCTCACAGGGACAGCTTGCATGTGCCGCATCAGTTGCGTCTTTCCTCCTGTAGCTATGTGTGAAGCACTTTCGCTTCTCAGCAAGAAGGTCCTGGGTTCGAATAACCGTTTGGAGGGGAGTTTGCATGTTCTCCCCGTGTCTGCGTAGGTTTCCACCGGGTACTCCGGTTTCCCCTGTTATAAATATACATTACTTGCTTACATTGTCCCTGTCAATTAAATAAATGAGAATATATTTAATTCAGAGAATGTCCTGAATCTAAAGTATAGTTTCCCACTTTCCCGCAGCAGCAGCTGACTTCCTCTGCTGTGAGTGTGTGTGTGTGTGAGTGTGTGTGTGTGTGTGTGCTGTGGGAGTGTGTGTGTGTGCTGTGGGAGTGTGTGTGTGCTGTGGGAGTGTGTGTGTGTGTGCTGTGAGAGTGTGTGTGTGTGCTGTGAGAGAGTGTGTGTGTGTGCTGTGAGAGTGTGTGTGTGTGCTGTGAGAGAGTGTGTGTGTGTGCTGTGAGAGAGTGTGTGTGTGTGCTGTGAGAGAGTGTGTGTGTGTGCTGTGGGAGTGTGTGTGTGTGTGCTGTGAGAGTGTGTGTGTGTGCTGTGAGAGAGTGTGTGTGTGTGCTGTGGGAGTGTGTGTGTGTGTGCTGTGAGAGTGTGTGTGTGTGCTGTGAGAGTGTGTGTGTGTGTGCTGTGAGAGTGTGTGTGTGTGCTGTGAGAGAGTGTGTGTGTGTGCTGTGAGAGAGTGTGTGTGTGTGCTGTGAGAGAGTGTGTGTGTGTGCTGTGGGAGTGTGTGTGTGTGTGTGTGTGTGTGCTGTGGGAGTGTGTGTGTGCTGTGAGAGTGTGTGTGTGTGTGCTGTTAGAGTGTGTGTGTGTGTGTGTGTGTGTGTGCTGTGAGAGTGTGTGTGTGTGTGCTGTGAGAGAGTGTGTGTGTGTGCTGTGAGAGAGTGTGTGTGTGTGCTGTGGGAGTGTGTGTGTGTGTGTGCTGTGGGAGTGTGTGTGTGTGTGTGTGTGTGTGCTGTGGGAGTGTGTGTGTGTGTGTGTGTGTGTGTGCTGTGGGAGTGTGTGTGTGTGTGTGCTGTGGGAGTGTGTGTGTGTGTGCTGTGGGAGTGTGTGTGTGTGTGTGTGTGTGTGTGTGCGTGCTGTGGGAGTGTGTGTGTGTGTGCTGTGGGAGTGTGTGTGTGTGCTGTGGGAGTGTGTGTGTGTGCTGTGGGAGTGTGTGTGTGCTGTGGGAGTGTGTGTGTGTGTGCTGTGAGAGTGTGTGTGTGTGCTGTGAGAGAGTGTGTGTGTGTGCTGTGGGAGTGTGTGTGTGTGTGCTGTGAGAGTGTGTGTGTGTGCTGTGAGAGAGTGTGTGTGTGTGCTGTGAGAGAGTGTGTGTGTGTGCTGTGAGAGAGTGTGTGTGTGTGCTGTGGGAGTGTGTGTGTGTGTGTGTGTGTGTGCTGTGGGAGTGTGTGTGTGCTGTGAGAGTGTGTGTGTGTGTGCTGTTAGAGTGTGTGTGTGTGTGTGTGTGTGTGTGCTGTGAGAGTGTGTGTGTGTGTGTGCTGTGAGAGAGTGTGTGTGTGTGCTGTGAGAGAGTGTGTGTGTGTGCTGTGGGAGTGTGTGTGTGTGTGTGTGTGTGTGCTGTGGGAGTGTGTGTGTGTGTGTGTGTGTGCTGTGGGAGTGTGTGTGTGTGTGTGTGTGTGTGCTGTGGGAGTGTGAGGGGAGATGCAGGTGAATACTGTCCACTCAGGGATGACCTTTGCCTCGGGGGGATTACACACAGACCTTAATGGACTTAGACTTAACCCTTTCAACACATATTTTGGAGTCATGCTACAGAGCGGCGTGGCTGTGTGTGTGTGTGTGTGTGTGTGTGTGTGTGTGTGTGTGTGTGTGTGTGTGTGTGTGTGTGTGTGTGTGTGTGCGCCTGTGGCCGGGGGAGGGTTAATCTGGCCCCTGCTCTCTCCTGGATCCGCAGACGCCGCAGTGAAACGGATAATCCCCGCTAATCACATCTGAAATGTGTTCCTCTTCATCTCACTGCTCCAAACCCCAAATGTCATTCTTCTTTAGTCCTGTGCTTATGGAGGAGACACAACACAACAAAACCGCATAAACACAGATGCATTGTGTGTGTTTTTATTATTCACAATAGACTGAGAATGAAAAGATATTAGATTGTTTTTACACTAAAACACTGCAGTTTTTAGAGTTGGACCCTCGTTTTGGAAACAGGAAGGACAGGGATCCAGGACACATTTATCCACATTTATCCACATTTATCCACATTTATCCACATTTATCCACATTTCTGCTCCTTTTGGATCAATGTCTATGTGTTTTTTATCGTTGCATTTCCTGTGTGTGATTCTCTGATCTGTTGTTGGTGAATTGACAGCTTTGTGAAGTCCTCCAATACTGTTGTGATTTAGGGCGACACAGAAATGAATTGAATCTGTCATATAAGAATTAGACAAATATTTCTCAGGGTGGTATTTCCAGTGTCCATAACAACATGTGGAAAGGATCGTAAACTAAACGGATTGTTCCTGTCAGATTTCCCACAACATCTACAATCCGACGGTTTTGTAAAGTCCTCCTAGATTTTTGTTTTTTATTTAACCATTATTTAACCACAAAAAATCCCATTGAGATTAAGAACCTATTTTTCAAGGGTGTTGTGGCCAAAGTTACACATAAAAACAACATATCATTTAATTCATTCTCAACCCCTTTATTGATCCATTTCTGGGTCGGGGGTCGGGGGTCGGGGGTCGGCTGCACCCACTGCTCACAGCACCAGTCCCTCTGATCCTCTGCAGGGGGTGGCTCCACGGGAAGATGGCTGCTTTGTCAGTGACGACACAGTCTTTAGGCAATGTGGGGTTAAGTGTTTTGCCCAAGGACACAACAACAGCGGACATTAGTGGGACTCGAACCCATGACCTTCAGGCTCAAAGGCCAATGCTCTACCAACTGAGCTACTGTCACCCCCAATAATAACAATAATAATTAATTAAAAACGACAGACGACACACATCAAGTAAAACATTCAGATATATATATATTCGTTTATTCTTCGGCCATCAGCAGAAAATAAGAAAACATTTGACATTCACAAATTATAAATTATATACTGACCGAAAGGGTTAGGCTAAAGTTTAACACTTATTTCGCCTAACCCTATTAACAAATAACAAAATTACATTTCTTACTTATACAAATGTAACAAAATTATATACAATGTAGCGGATCCACAGAGCTTACAGTATTTCCAAATACAATTTTCATTGTAAGAAAATAAATAGTTCGTACTAATTCAAAGAAATATTCCTTATAATGTAATCACATTATATACATAAACACAGAGTATGACATATATATATATATATATATTTATATATATATTTTTCTTATTATTATTTATTTATTTATTTATAATAAAGATAAATACTTTATTGATCCAAAAGGAAATTGTGAATTGGTCCCTTGCTCGCAATCATACAACCATACACACATACAACCATACACACACACAATCATACACACATACACAATACAATACAATGCAATAGAATGTATTCTTGTATAGCCCTAGGTCACAACAGAAGTCGTCTCAGAGACTTAACAAAACCATTGAAATCACCAACACAGGTCAGAGAATCAACAGTTAAAACACATGAAAAATATAAAGCACACACAGAAGAAAATGTCCATACATGTTGTAGAATGCTAAAGTGTCCTGATCATCACCAATCCTTTCTGTTGGACACTAACTGTCCAACAAGATACAAACATACAATCATACACACATACAATCATACACACATACAATCATACACACATACAATCATACACACATACAATCATACACACATACAATCATACACACATACAATCATACACACATACAATCATACACACATACAAACATACAATCATACACACATACAATCATACACACATACAATCATACACACATACAATCATACACACATACACACATACAACATACAATCATACACACATACAATCATACACACATACAATCATACACACACATACACACATACAATCATACACACATACAATCCACATACACATACACATACAATCATACACACATACAATCATCATATCACACATACACATCAACACACATACAATCATACACATACATCACACACATACAATCATACACACATACAATCATACACACATACATCATCACACACATACAATCATCCACATACAACACATACCATACAAACATACAACATACAACACATACATCATACACATACACATACACACATACACAATTACACATACACACATACACACACATACACACATACAATCATACACACATACAATCATACACATACATCATACACCTACAATCATACACATCATACACACATACAATCATAACACATACACATACAACATACATCACACACATACAATCATACACACATACAATCCATACAAACATACAATCATACACACATACAATCATACAATCATACACACATACAATCATACACACATACAATCATACACACATACACACATACAAACATACAATCATACACACATACAATCATACACACATACAATCATACACACATACACACATACAATCATACAAACATACAATCATACACACATACAATCATACACACATACAATCATACAATCATACACACATACAAACATACAATCATACACACATACAATCATACACACATACAATCATACACACATACAATCATACACACATACACACATACAATCATACAAACATACAAACATACAATCATACACACATACAATCATACACACATACAATCATACACACATACAATCATACACACATACAATCATACACACATACACACATACAATCATACACACATACACACATACACACATACAGACGTATAAACGTATAAACATACAAACGTAGGATTTGAAGTTAAAAGATAAAAACTTAAGCCGACTGTGATGGTTCAGTTTATAACTTACTGTAGATGAATGTTGTTAAACTGGAACAGGCCACGCCCCCTCACTCTGTCCTCATGTGTGATGGACTGAGACATTTGCCTCTGGGAAAATGAAGGTATATTCTTTGGGGAAAATTAGAAATATTTCATACAACATGGAAACCTTTTATTGATTTTTTTTTTTACTCTAATGTATAAAATTTGGGCTGAGACGAAAACAGTTAAAAAGATCTTTTATTTTTGTATTTTAATTTTAATTTTATTTTGTTACTTTGTTTTGTCTGTTCTTAAAAACATATTACGATTTAATGGTAATTCATTTGTAAATGCTCTAAATGTGTATAATATTGTACTATTACATGCTTGTTAACTAGCTAACAGCTAGTTATGTTAGCTAAGAAACATAGCTACTACTTATATGTATATAGTGTATATATTGTGTGTGCTCCCTGTGTGCTCTTACTAGTGTCCTATATGTGCGATGCAACATGGAAATTTCCCCACTGTGGGACGAATAAAGGAATTCTTATCTTATTGTTTTATTTGAAAAAAGGAAAAAAAGAAAACAGATAAAAACATAATTAAAAATGACAATAAAATACATTAAAATACGCCAAATACAAAAGTCAGAGGTGCAGCCGTCCACACAGGCGCAGTGAGAGCAGTTCACAGGTGACTACTGCTCTGATCTTTGGTGTGTGTCTCCTGCTGTGTGTGTGTTCCTGTGTGGACTGTGTAACTTTGGTTTGTGTGTCTCCTGCCTTGTGTGTATTGCTGTGTGTCTTCTGCTGTGTGTGTGTGTCTCCTTCTGTGTGTGTGTTGCTGTGTGTCTCCTGCTGTGTGTGTGTGTGTGTGTGTCTCCTTCTGTGTGTGTGTGTGTCTCCTGTGTGTGTGTTGGTGTGTGGCTGACCCTCTGTCAGCTGTGATGGACAGGTTAGCTGCCTCTAAAGCCTGGTCTTAGCAGCCCCTGGGCCTCAGCGGATCTGCAGACTATAAATAATGGCACATATGTCTCTGACGTCCTCTAAGCTCGTCCTGATCCACAGACCGGCACGAGCAACTGCAGGAGCTCCCAGGTTACACCTACACTGCTGCTGCTGCTGCTGCTGCTGCTGCTGCTGCTGCTGCTGCTGCTGCTGCTGCTGCTGCTGCTGCTGCTGCTGCTGCTACTGCTGCTGCTGCTACTGCTGCTGCTGCTGCTGCTGCTGCTGCTGCTGCTGCTGCTGCTGCTGCTGCTGCTGCTGCTGCTGCTACTGCTGCTGCTGCTACTGCTGCTGCTACTGCTGCTGCTGCTGCTGCTGCTGCTGCTGTTGAGGAGGAGGAGGAATCTCACTGATGTCTGCTGTCGTTGTGTCCTTGGGCAAGACACTTCCTCCACATTAGAATGAGTCTGGTGTGTGTGTGAATGGTTGGTGGTGGTGGGAGGGGCCGATGGCACAGACTGGTTGCCTCGCTTCTGTCAGTGTGCCCCAGGGCAGCTGTGGCTACAGTAGAAGTTTATCACCGACGTGTTTGAAGTCAAAGAATAATCGAGTGTCCAAAAAAGCGCTAAATAAAATTGAGGCATTATTATTATTATTATTATTATTATTATTATTATTATTACTATTTATTATTATTATTATTATTATTACTATTATTACTAGTACTACTAATCCTACTACTGTTCTACCATCAAGGTTTTGAAGGGTTCATTATAAAAACAGTTCATAACAGACTTTATAAGCTGTCGATTCTCCAGCACAGATCAGAGAATCACACAGTTCATATGTAATACACTGTTATAGGAGGCTCCAGCTGCACATGGCAAGGCAAGGCAAGTTTATTTATATAGCACAATTCATACACAAGGCAATTCAAAGTGCTGAACAAAACAAGAAAGCATTAAAATCATAAATTATCACAGAACATTAAAAAGAAAGATAAAAATATAAATTGGAATTGAATCTAATTGAATGCAGAAGTTTTGTAAAGTCCTGTGAGATATTCCGAAGGCCAAACAAAACTAAAGTAAACAGGAAGTGGAAGAGGACGGACTTCGACTTTAACGGAGTCAGAAAGTTTCACAAACATTTTTGTCCTAAATTACAGTCGTCTCGTGGACTCTACAAAGTTGTCGATTCCTGAACAACAGATCAGAGAATCAAACAGTTGAAACACAGGAAGTGCAATAATAAGATTCAGCTTTCTGTTTATTTGCCATTTGCAGTAAAACCACATTGGAATAACTGCACAACGATAAATGACCTACAACAAATCTATAAATGTCTGTAAATGTTCTAAAATGTTCTAAAATGTCCTGGATCATGACTGTCCTTGGACCTTCCTCCGTCGGCAAAGAACGACTTTAAAAACGATCTTTTAAAAGGACATTGCTGTATTGCACATTCAGACATTGCTGTATTGCACTTTCGGACATTGCTGTATTGCACATTCAGACATTGCTGTATTGCACATTCAGACATTGCTGTATTGCACATTCAGACATTGCTGTATTGCACATTCAGACATTGCTGTATTGCACATTCAGACATTGCTGTATTGCACATTCGGACATTGCTGTATTGCACCTTCAGACATTTCTGTATTGCACATTCAGACATTGCTGTATTGCACATTCGGCATTGGTGTATTGCACATTCAGACATTGCTGTATTGCACATTCAGACATTGCTGTATTGCACATTCGGACATTGCTGTATTGCACATTCGGACATTTGTGTATTGCACCTTCGGACATTGCTGTATTGCACATTCTGACATTTGTGTATTGCACCTTCGGACATTGCTGTATTGCACATTCAGACATTGCTGTATTGCACATAATTGCAGTATTCACTACTTACAGAGGAATGACAAATTAACATCACAGAAGGAAGACCCTGGGTTTAAAGTCCGGCCTTTACAGAAACCACGTCTGTTTTATTTCAGACCGGACCATAAACTGTAGAAGCCCAAACCTGGTTCTCTTCACAGTTAGGGCTTTGGGAAATAAACCAAATACATTCTTTGAAGTGGTTCTCACCCCCGCTCCTCAGAACTTACGTCAATCACATTTCCTGTTCAAATCTTCCTCTAAATGGGCGTGGCCTGGAGGACTAAAGGGGGCGTGAACGAGACTGGGCCGTTTACATTGCTCTGGGCGGGGGGCTGCTGACGTCAGGTCTTGCTTCAGACGTCAGGTCTTGCTTCAGACGTCAGGTCTTGCTTCAGACGTCAGGTCTTGCTTCAGACGTCAGGTCTTGCTTCAGACGTCAGGTCTTGCTTCAGACGTCAGGTCTTGCTTCAGACGTCAGGTCTTGCTTCAGACGTCAGGTCTTGCTTCAGACGTCAGGTCTTGCTTCAGACGTCAGGTCTTGCTTCAGACGTCAGGTCTTGCTTCAGACGTCAGGTCCTGCTTCAGACGTCAGGTCTTGCTTCAGACGTCAGGTCTTGCTTCAGACGTCAGGTCCTGCTTCAGACGTCAGGTCTTGCTTCAGACGTCAGGTCTTGCTTCAGACGTCAGGTCTTGCTTCAGACGTCAGGTCTTGCTTCAGACGTCAGGTCCTGCTTCAGACGTCAGGTCTTGCTTCAGACGTCAGGTCTTGCTTCAGACGTCAGGTCTTGCTTCAGACGTCAGGTCTTGCTTCAGACGTCAGGTCTTGCTTCAGACGTCAGGTCTTGCTTCAGACGTCAGGTCTTGCTTCAGACGTCAGGTCTTGCTTCAGACGTCAGGTCTTGCTTCAGACGTCAGGTCTTGCTGCCGCGCCAGTGTTGGCGCCAGATTCAAAATTCAAATGTAGTAACACAGGTCGCCAGCAGATGGCGCCTCACAGACGGTTTTAGGCAGAAAGTTTAACTTTCAACTAATTTGCACCAAAGTGACAAAATTATGACCAGGATATGTAGACAACACTATTGGGCACTCATTTATACTGTTTATCAGCAAAAAAAAGTGGATTTGAGGGTGAGTTGTCCTTTAATATAATTTCTATTAAATCAACAATGAGAAAAAAGAGTGCTGTCTCTCAGGGGCCTCTGTCTGTAAACTCCAGAGCAGTCCATAACAACAGCAGAAAAGGCACAATTTGGATTTTATTTTGTCTACGTTTAAGGTGAAAATGAATGACATCAAAAATGGAGAAATTGAGAGAAAAAATCCATGTTTATTTTAAAGGCAAAATCCTCCTGTTGTTATTAAAGTATGGATCTGTTGGTTTCAGGTACCCCAGCTTTAAGCAGACAGGGTTTGGGACTGTTCTTCTCCCGTCTGAAAAGTCGTTTCATCATTGCCTTTATCCATACTTTTTCTACCGCTTTATCCGTTACCTGCTGGGGGGTGGGGGCAGCCGTCTGAGCAGAGACACACATCCAACCCCGAGGCGTTCCCAGGACGGAGAGACACAGTCCCTCCAGCGTGTCCTGGGACTCCCTCACACAGACAGAAGTAGCGGCTCTACTCCGAGCTCCTTCCGTGTGACTGAGCTCCTCACCCTCTCTCTCAGGCAGCTCCCAGTCGTTACTCAAAGCTCACGACCAGAAGCGAGGGCGGGAACGTAGATGGAACAATAAATGGAGAGGTTTGACTTTGGGCTCTTCACCACTACAGTCCGGCAGAGCTCTGACTGCAGACGCTGCTCCATGGCCTCAGCAGAGATGAAATCTTGTGGTCCCCAAACTTTACTCCCTCTGTCCTCCCTACAAAGTCTGCCCATTGTTGCCGTATTTTTACCTAATTTGGAATATTGTGTATTGTACTGGTCCTGCATCCCCCATGGTCCTACATCCTCCATGGTCCTACAGTTTCCATGGTCCTACATCCTCCATAGTTCTGCCTCCCCCATGGTCCTGCGTCCTGCATCCCCCATGGTCCTACATCCTCCATAGTCCTGCATCCTACCTGGTCCTGCATCCTCCATAGTCCTGCATCCTGCCTGGTCCTGCCTCCTCCATGGTCCTGCCACCTCCATGGTCCTGCATCCTCCATGGTCCTGCCTCCTCCATGGTCCTGCCTCCTCCATGGTCCTGCCTCCTCCATGGTCCTGCCTCCTCCATGGTCATGCCTCCTCCATGGTCCTGCCTCCTCCATGGTCCTGCCTCCTCCATGGTCCTGCTCCTCCATGGTCCTGCATCCTCCATGGCCTGCCTCCTCCATGGTCCTGCCTCCTCCATGGTCCTATGTTTAGACTGTTTGTCTGGACAGCTGACTCAGGCCGCCCACCGTCGCCCCCTGCTGTCAGGAAAGGGCTTGTTTGTTTATTCATGTTTCTGAGACGCAGCAGACTGTGATGTGTCTCCAGGTTGAGTCATCAGTTGGAGAACAGCATCTCCGAGCAGAGGTCGCCATGGAGACAAACCATCCCCATGACAACCACCAGTCCCCGCATCAAACGCATTGTTTAGCGCCGGTCCCCAACAACTCACTATTGAGCTCTGTCTAGATCACTTTGGAATCTACAGGTGTTTCTCGTCGGGCTGCTCTAGACACTCTCGCCTCTCAGCAAGAAGGTCCTGGGTTCGAATCCCCGTCGGAACATGGCCTTTCTGTGTGGAGTTTGCATGTTCTCCCCGTGTCTGCGTAGGTTTTCTCCGGGTGCTCCAGTTTCCCCTATCACTAAAAAATATGAGCAATAGAATCCTCCAGCTCTGGTCCTGACCCAGAGCATCAACATCTGGAGGTTCCCGGGCACTGTTACTACGGCAACCACTGCCCCTGACTTAAGCCTTAGCGGCCTCAGGATCTGGGTCAAATGCAGAGGATGATGGTCCGACAGGGATCATTAAAGGTGCTCATCGTCTCATCTATTTAACAGGAGGATGTTCCTATAGATGTTGAAGCGTTGAGTATGTGCTGCAGACCTCAGACCTGCAGACCTCAGACCTGCAGACCTCAGACCTGCAGACCTGCAGACCTCAGACCTGCAGACCTCAGACCTGCAGACCTGCAGACCTCAGACCTGCAGACCTCAGACCTGCAGACCTGCAGACCTCAGACCTGCAGACCTCAGACCTGCAGACCTCAGACCTCAGACCTGCAGACCTCAGACCTGCAGACCTCAGACCTCAGACCTGCAGACCTCAGACCTGCAGACCTCAGACCTGCAGACCTCAGACCTGCAGACCTCAGACCTCAGACCTGCAGACCTCAGACCTGCAGACCTCAGACCTGCAGACCTGCAGACCTCAGACCTGCAGACCTCAGACCTGCAGACCTGCAGACCTCAGACCTGCAGACCTCAGACCTGCAGACCTGCAGACCTCAGACCTGCAGACCTCAGACCTGCAGACCTCAGACCTCAGACCTGCAGACCTCAGACCTGCAGACCTCAGACCTCAGACCTGCAGACCTCAGACCTGCAGACCTCAGACCTGCAGACCTCAGACCTGCAGACCTCAGACCTCAGACCTGCAGACCTCAGACCTGCAGACCTCAGACCTGCAGACCTCAGACCTCAGACCTGCAGACCTCAGACCTGCAGACCTGCAGACCTCAGACCTCAGACCTGCAGACCTGCAGACCTCAGACCTGCAGACCTCAGACCTCAGACCTCAGACCTGCAGACCAGGTGCTCCTGGTCCGTGTGCTCCTGGTCCCTGTGCTCCTGGTCCCTGTGCTCCTGGTCCTTGTGCTCCTGGTCCGTGTGCTCCTGGTCCCTGTGCTCCTGGTCCCTGTGCTCCTGGTCTGTGAGCTCTATGATTGAAACCTCTCTCAGTCGTATTCAGACAAACTAAAGCCTGTAGTTTGAGTAAAACTAATGCAACCTTTTGTCCTTGTTTTTGGGCTGGAAATCATAAATGAAAGATACTGAGGATGATGCTGTAGCTGCTCTAACCCTGCTCTGGTTCCTCGTTATATCCAGAAAAACACGACATTATTCTCATCCGACAGCCTCCTACAGCCTCCTTCAGCCTCCTACAGCCTCCTACAGTCTCCTTCAGCCTCCTTCAGCCTCCTTCAGCCTCCTACAGCCTCCTTCAGCCTCCTACAGCCTCCTACAGCCTCCTACAGTCTCCTACAGCCTCCTTCAGCCTCCTTCAGCCTCCTACAGCCTCCTTCAGCCTCCTTCAGCCTCCTACAGCCTCCTTCAGCCTCCTTCAGCCTCCTACAGCCTCCTTCAGCCTCCTTCAGCCTCCTTCAGCCTCCTACAGTCTCCTTCAGCCTCCTACAGCCTCCTTCAGCCTCCTACAGTCTCCAGCCTCCTACAGTCTCCTTCAGCCTCCTACAGCCTCCTACAGCCTCCTTCAACCTCCTTCAGCCTCCTTCAGCCTCCTTCAGCCTCCTTTAGCCTCCTTCAGCCTCCTTTAGCCTCCTTCAGCCTCCTACAGTCTCCTTCAGCCTCCTTCAGCAGACTCTGACTCTGGTGTGATTTGGAGGCAGCAGATGTGGAGACGGTGCAGCCGCCTCAGAGCCGCTGTTTACAGACGTGTGGGTGCATGAGTCACAGAGAGAGAGAGAGAGAGACCAGAGAGAGAGACCGGAGAGAGACCAGAGAGAGACCAGAGAGGGACCAGAGAGAGACCAGAGAGAGAGACCGGAGAGAGAGACCGGAGAGAGAGACCGGAGAGAGAGACCGGAGAGAGAGACCAGAGAGAGACCAGAGAGAGAGACCGGAGAGAGAGACCGGAGAGAGACCGGAGAGAGACCGGAGAGAGACCAGAGAGAGACCAGAGAGAGACCAGAGAGAGACCAGAGAGAGACCAGAGAGAGACCAGAGAGAGACCAGAGAGAGACCAGAGAGAGACCAGAGAGAGACCAGAGAGAGACCAGAGAGAGACCAGAGAGAGAGACCGGAGAGAGAGACCGGAGAGAGACCGGAGAGAGACCGGAGAGAGACCGGAGAGAGACCGGAGAGAGACCAGAGAGAGACCAGAGAGAGACCAGAGAGAGACCAGAGAGAGACCAGAGAGAGACCAGAGAGAGACCAGAGAGAGACCAGAGAGAGACCAGAGAGAGACCAGAGAGAGACCAGAGAGAGACCAGAGAGAGACCAGAGAGAGACCAGAGAGAGACCAGAGAGAGACCAGAGAGAGACCAGAGAGAGACCAGAGAGAGACCAGAGAGAGACCAGAGAAACAGTCATCAGGAAGTCCTGGTCAGACCTGCAGACCTCAGACCTCAGACCTCAGACCTCAGACCTGCAGACCTGCAGACCTGAGACCTAGAGGAGGTGCAGACTCTCTTGATCAGATTACGGATCATGAATAAATGACCAGAGCAGAAACAGAGTCTTGTGTAAACCTGCTTTGTCTGTGCCACAGCTTAAACTGTTATAGCCTTTCTATTTCATTCCATTAATATTACTCAAATATATATGTATTAAATTTATTATATTTAGTGATTGACCCGGCCTGGTGGTGATCCGCTTTCTGAGAAATGGTCTGTGTTTGGATTAAAAGTCACAGAATGTTTCCAATGAAAAAGGAAAGGTTTGAAACAGTCATCAGGAAGTCCTGGTCTGTCCTGGGCGGTCACCTGGTCCGTGTGCACCTGGTCCCTGTGCTCCTGGTCTGTGAGCTCCTGGTCCCTGTGCTCCTGGTCTGTGAGCTCCTGGTCCCTGTGCTCCTGGTCCTTGTGCTCCTGGTCCCTGTGCTCCTGGTCCGTGTGCTCCTGGTCCGTGTGCTCCTGGTCCCTGTGCTCCTGGTCCCTGTGCTCCTGGTCCCTGTGCTCCTGGTCTGTGAGCTCCTGGTTCCTGTGCTCCTGGTCCCTGTGCTCCTGGTCTGTGAGCTCCTGGTCCCTGTGCTCCTGGTCCCTGTGCTACTGGTCTGTGAGCTCCTGGTCCGTGTGCTCCTGGTCCCTGTGCTCCTGGTCCCTGTGCTCCTGGTCTGTGAGCTCCTGGTCCGTGTGCTCCTGGTCCCTGTGCTCCTGGTCCCTGTGCTCCTGGTCTGTGAGCTCTATGATTGAAACCTCTCTCAGTCGTATTCAGACAAACTAAAGCCTGTAGTTTGAGTAAAACTAATGCAACCTTTTGTCCTTGTTTTTGGGCTGGAAATCGTAAATGAAAGATACTGAGGATGATGCTGTAGCTGCTCTAACCCTGCTCTGGTTCCTCGTTATATCCAGAAAAACACGACATTATTCTCATCCGACAGCCTCCTACAGCCTCCTTCAGCCTCCTACAGCCTCCTTCAGCCTCCTTCAACCTCCTACAGTCTCCTTCAGCCTCCTTCAACCTCCTACAGTCTCCTACAGCCTCCTTCAGCCTCCTACAGCCTCCTTCAGCCTCCTTCAGCCTCCTACAGCCTCCTTCAGCCTCCTTCAGCCTCCTTCAACCTCCTACAGTCTCCTTCAGCCTCCTTCAGCCTCCTTCAGCCTCCTACAGCCTCCTTCAGCCTCCTACAGCCTCCTTCAGCCTCCTTCAACCTCCTACAGTCTCCTTCAGCCTCCTTCAGCCTCCTTCAGCCTCCTACAGCCTCCTTCAGCCTCCTACAGCCTCCTACAGCCTCCTTCAGCCTCCTTCAGCCTCCTACAGCCTCCTACAGCCTCCTTCAGCCTCCTTCAGCCTCCTTCAGCCTCCTACAGCCTCCTTCAGCCTCCTACAGCCTCCTTCAGCCTCCTACAGCCTCCTACAGTCTCCTTCAGCCTCCTTCAGCCTCCTTCAGCCTCCTACAGCCTCCTTCAGCCTCCTACAGCCTCCTACAGCCTCCTACAGTCTCCTACAGCCTCCTTCAGCCTCCTACAGCCTCCTTCAGCCTCCTTCAGCCTCCTTTAGCCTCCTTCAGCCTCCTACAGTCTCCTTCAGCCTCCTTCAGCCTCCTTCAGCCTCCTTCAGCCTCCTACAGTCTCCGTCAGCCTCCTACAGCCTCCTTCAGCCTCCTACAGTCTCCTTCCGCCTCCTACAGCCTCCTACAGCCTCCTTCAACCTCCTTCAGCCTCCTTCAGCCTCCTTCAGCCTCCTTCAGCCTCCTTTAGCCTCCTTCAGCCTCCTACAGTCTCCTTCAGCCTCCTTCAGCAGACTCTGACTCTGGTGTGATTTGGAGGCAGCAGATGTGGAGACGGTGCAGCCGCCTCAGAGCCGCTGTTTACAGACGTGTGGGTGCATGAGTCACAGAGAGAGAGAGAGAGAGACCAGAGAGAGAGACCGGAGAGAGACCAGAGAGAGACCAGAGAGGGACCAGAGAGAGACCAGAGAGAGAGACCGGAGAGAGAGACCGGAGAGAGAGACCGGAGAGAGAGACCGGAGAGAGACCAGAGAGAGACCAGAGAGGGACCAGAGAGAGACCAGAGAGAGAGACCAGAGAGGGACCAGAGAGAGACCAGAGAGAGAGACCAGAGAGAGAGACCAGAGAGAGAGACCGGAGAGAGAGACCGGAGAGAGAGACCGGAGAGAGAGACCGGAGAGAGAGACCGGAGAGAGACCAGAGAGAGACCAGAGAGAGAGACCAGAGAGGGACCAGAGAGAGACCAGAGAGAGACCAGAGAGAGAGACCAGAGAGAGAGACCGGAGAGAGAGACCGGAGAGAGAGACCGGAGAGAGACCAGAGAGAGACCAGAGAGAGACCAGAGAGAGACCAGAGAGAGACCAGAGAGAGACCAGAGAGAGACCAGAGAGAGAGACCGGAGAGAGAGACCGGAGAGAGATACCGGAGAGAGAGACCGGAGAGAGAGACCGGAGAGAGAGACCGGAGAGAGAGACCGGAGAGAGAGACCGGAGAGAGAGACCGAGACAGAGAGAGAGACAGAGAGAGAGACAGAGAGAGAGACAGAGAGAGAGACAGAGAGAGAGACAGAGAGAGAGACCGAGAGAGACGAAGAGAGAGACAGAGAGAGACAGAGAGAGACAGAGAGAGAGACAGAGAGAGAGACAGAGAGAGAGACAGAGAGAGACAGAGAGAGACAGAGAGAGACAGAGAGAGACAGAGAGAGACAGAGAGAGACAGAGAGAGACAGAGAGAGACAGAGAGAGACGGAGAGAGAGAGAGACCGGAGAGACAGAGAGAGAGACAGAAAGACCGGAGACGGAGAGAGACCGGAGACAGAGAGAGACAGAGAGAGACAGAGAGAGACAGAGAGAGAGAGAGAGAGACAGAGAGAGAGAGACAGAGAGATGATATTTTTAGCTCCGCTCTGACGTCTCTGTCAAATGTATCGTTGGTGTTTCTAAAGTTGCAGAATATTTGTTTTCCTGAGACTGAACTTTATTGAAAACGCTCAAGTCATGATTAAACATAATAAATGAAAAACAATCATTTCCTGTTTGATACATTTATTAAGTTTTATGATTTACAAAAGTTACACATGGAAAAAGTATGTCATGGTATGGATTTAGTGCTATTTTGTCCATTTTATTTTGACGTTCTCTGTTGGTTTACTTCCTGTTCCTGTCGCTTGTTGTTGGTCCATTGTATTGTCTCCGTTATCATCTTTATAAAATCACCTTTCACCCCTGAGAAAAAAAACAACAAATACTATATCTGCTGTCAGACAGAACGGACAGAATCAGATCAAGTTCTCCATTTTAAGGAAAGATGATGGAGATTTCAGTTTGACACACACACACACACACACACACACACACACACACACACACACAGCGAACAATACTTCCGCGCTCCCTATAGGCAAAGTGGGTTGAGTGTCTTGCCCAAGGACCCAACGACAGCTGACAGAAGTGGGAGTCAGTGGAGAAGGTCTCATGGTGGGCTCGAACCCACGACCTTCAGGCTCAAAGGCCAATGCTCTACCAACTGAGCCACTGTCGCC